CTCTCCGGGAGCTTTGCTGGATTCCTGAGGGCAGGCTGGCAGTAAACAGCTGCTTATAATTCCAGAAAGAAAGGAATGTTTTGTCTACATTGTCGTAGAAGTGTAAGTGTTGTCGTAGACCCTAACGTGACCCCAGTGATTTCTTCCTCCTGTTGTTCCTGCCTGTGTGCAGTCCTCTCCCTCCGAATGTGGGCGAGACCTGTGACTCGCTTCTAACCCGCAGAGAACGACAAAGGTGATGGGATGTCACTCCCTCGATTAGGTTACATCATATAAGACTCCACTTTAGCACATTAGAGAGAGAGTCTCCTCTCAGGTTTGACAGAATTAGCAGCCATATTGAGGACCCCATGTAACAAGGAAGTGTGGGCAGCTTCTAGAAACTTCAAGCAGCCTCTAGGACCTGAGAGTGGCCTCCAGACACTATCTAGCAAAAAGCCAGGGCCCTCAGTCATATAGCCACAGGAAATGAATTCTGCCAACCACCTGAATGAGGGAGAAGTGAATTGTTCCCCAGTCGAGCCTCCAGATGAAAACACAGCCCAGACAACTCCTTGATTACAGCCCGGCGAGACCCTGGGTAGAGGACTCGGCTAAGCCATGCCCAGACTCCTGGTCCACAGAAACTGTGAGATAATAAATGTGAATCGTTTTAAGCTGCTGACTTTGTGGTAATTTGCTATGCAACATAGAAAACAACGTAACACATATGCAGAATGTCAGTGTGCGGAGGCAGGAAAGGTGAATGCTGCAGATTCAGAAGGCTTTCCGGGGGAGGTGGCATTTGTACTCGAACACGAAGAGTGAGGAGGATGTAACTAGGGAGAGATGGAAAGATGAGCGGCACCTCCTCCTTGGCCCCTTCCAAACCCTGGGCCTGAGAGGTCTCTGCAAGGACATGGCTTCCAGCCTGGACCCCAAGCAAGTTCCCCGGAGGAGCTCTCCCTGCCCCGGCTCCTCAAAACACGCTCTGGAGAACTTGCCCAAAGCAGGCAGAGTCCAGCGCCCCCACCCGATGCGCCCTAAATTGATCGCTTTAGGTAGAGGAGAGGTGAAACAGTCCTGTTCGATTTCTTTTTAAAAAATAACTGTCCTCTGATTATGGGAGTGACATGTGTTCATGATGAACCATTTAAAAAATACAGATAACTTTTAAAAAGCAAAGATTATAAAAAGCACCGGTGATCCCATGACCCAGAGATGAGCTCCATTAACATTCTGGGCATTTCCTTCTGGTCACAGGTACACAACAAGTGACAGGGACAACAGTGTTAATGTCACCCTCGTCTCAGTCTTTCTCTCTCTGGTCTTCTAAGGAGCGTTCTGAGCTCCAGGCCCTTTGGATTAACCTGCTCAGGATAATGGGCAAAAAGAGGTGTAGAATTGAAAAGAGGAGAGAGCAACCAGTGATTTTTATGATAGGAAGGAGGAAAACCGCTCCTGAGGGGAAGACCAGATCTGAGAAGGCAGACCCGGCCCAGAGCACATATCCGCCACCCCGGTTACGTCTGGCAGACGCCACCTATCTGGGCCGGGCCAGAGAAGCAGCCTTCCGGGTCTCCCCCCAGTTCTGAGGGAGCCCTCTGGCTCGTTCCATCTGGAGCATCTCAGTCCAGGAGGGAGATCCCTCCCTGGGTGTCCAGGGTGCTGCTCCTGGTGGTTCATACGTGCCCTGAGTTGTTGAAAGGGGGTGTCCACCTGTGGAAGGGCTGCTAGGGCTGAGCAGTGTCCAGGGGCACAGACCCCCCCCCCCCCTTACTCTGGGCTCCTCCCTCTGCCCAGGCAGTGGGCACAGCCCGTGGATGCAGAGACTGGGCCATCCCTGATGGTCGGAAGGCTGTGCCTGCCCCTCCTTGACAGGGCTGGGCCATCTACTGAGCTGACCTTGTCCCGGCCCCTAGTCCTCCCTTCTGTCTAGTTCTCAGGGAACCTCTGGATTGACAGCCTGGCATTCTTCACACAAAATCGCACAAGAACCACCATCTTCCTGGTGTCTCCGTCTCCAAACTGCTTCTGAGGGGTCTAGCTTGTTTTTTGTTTAAATAAAGAGAGGATCACTCTTCAAACATAACCAGAACTATGGGGAGCAGCATGGGTTCAGTAGCTCAACAATGATGGCTGACATCTCTGGTTTTCTTGGCCTTTCTCTCTGCTTATAACCTCATGGTCACATGATGGCTGCTATGGTCCAGGCATCACATTCACATTCAAGTCCAAAATTAGGGACAGGGCAGCACCAGCTGCATCTTTTATCACTTTTTTATCAAGAAAGCAAAGCTTCCCCGGAAAACCATGGAAGAGCTTCACTTATATATCTTTGGCCAGAACCATGTCACGTGGCCACTCCTAGCAGCAAAAAGAGGGTAGGAAAACAATTTCTTGCTTTTCCAGCCTCTTTTTAGGAGAGGCAGGCAAGGGGGTAGGGAGTTGGGAACGGGGTCAGGTCCGCTAAGTTTCCAAGGAAGGCCTCCACCTTCTCTGGGGCCTGACCACAGCTGGTCCTCCTGTGTGAGACAGGTCGATGTCTGCCCCACACAGAGCCCGGGCCATGGTGAATCGGGCTAAAGGGACAAGAGGCACGATTGGCTGTAATCTAGGGACACTGCTGTGCCCAAAACGCAACATAACTGCACCCAGATTCTAAAGTCACCAGCAAGCCAGAACTGCTGCAGTAGCAGATACGAAATAACACACTGATAGCTAATATGGGGCACTTACTCTATGCCGGATCCTGACCTAAATGCTTTTCATATATTAATTTTACTTCACGTAATCCTCTTAACAGCCCTATGAAGTGGACCCCATCGTCTCCATTTTAAGGATGAAGAAACTGAGGCTCAGAGAGGTTAAGGTACTTGCTCAGGGTCACCCAGCCAGTAGTGTGGACAAGAAGTCAACTGGTGCTGCTTTAAGACACCGAGATTTTACAGTAGTTTGTTACTGTGACTAAACCTGGTCAATTCTGAGATATATATGTCTGGACTCTGTTGTCTAAAATATGTTTTATATAATATAGATTGTAAACATATTTACATAAATTAATTTACATGTAACAACACATTTAATTGTATAATTTATGTAAATATCAGTACCTTTATATACATAGACGTGTATATAAAAATCTTCCTTAGGGGCCGGCCCAGTGGCACAGCGGTTAAGTTTGCACGTTCTGCTTCGATGGCCCGGGGTTCCCTGGTCTGGATCCCAGGTGTGGACATGGTACCGCTTGGCAAGCCATGCTGTGGTAGGCGTCCCACATATAAAGTAAAGGAAGATGAGCACGGATGTTAGCTCAGGGCCAGTCTTCCTCAGCAAAAAGAGGAGGATTGGTGGCAGATGTTAGCTCAGGGCTAATCTTCCTCAAAAAAAAAAAAACCTTCCTTAGTTTCCACTCTCAAGAAAAACTGCTCTGCAACCTGGGGTAAAGAACTCTCTCCCTGCAGCCTTGCAGTGTGGGGGACCCAGGCAGGCAGCTGGGGTTCCTGAAGGAGCCCGGCAGGCCCAGTGCTGCTGGAAAGTCTCCTGATGCTTGGTGCAGCATGTGAAACTACACAGCCTCTGCATCAGGCAGGAGAGGGTAGATTAGCTGCTGTAACAACCCCCCCCCCCCCCACAAAGGGTACTCCTTCCTCAAGTATAAAAGACATTTTTATGCTAGTGTATCAGTGCACAACTTGAAGAACTCAAGGGCCTGCTGGGAAAGCAGCATTGTGGGTGGTGGTTCCCTGTGGCCCAGGTAGGGGAAGGCTCGGTCCACATGCAAAGGAGGACAGAAACAAGGGGAGGGGCCGGGCAGAGCGAGCGAGTGCGTGCTCTGGGCTTTCCCGGGAGCATCCAGCTCAGGTGCACCTGACTGTTGGCTCCATAAATGCCCTAACTTTAAAGTCTATGGCCGGAGAACATCCCACTAGGGGTGGGAGGAAGCTGCTGCTGCAGAGACAGGCCCCTCGACTTGGCCTGGGAGCTTTCCAGGACCAGCAGATAGCAGCTCACCCATGCGCCTGCGTGCCGGCACTCTCTCACACACACTCACACACACCCCCCAGGCCACCAGGCACACACTCAATGTCACCTATCCCCATGCTTCTGGGAGGTGATGGTGTCAGGTCAGAGTCAGATGGAGGGCTGAGTCCAGGTCTACCAGGATGGGAAAGATGCAACCTCCAGGAATTTGAGAGTGTGGTCAGAACAGGACCAACGAGTGTGTGTGTGCATGGCTATGTGTACTTGTGCAGTTTTATATAGGAGGGGTTTCCCTCCAGCTGCTCAGGACTCATCTTGGAAGCCCCAAAATTTTGCATCACCCAGCTGCTCTCATATATTAGCTATCCATGGTATGATTGGAATGTCTCTGCTGTGATGGACAAGTGCAGTGCACAGCCTGGATAACTGTACACAGCAGCCCTATCAAGAGCCCATAGTTGGCCCAGCTCTGGAAGAGGAAGCAGCTCTATCTCATATGGACCTCAATTCCATGTCTGAAGGAGGAACCAAAAGCGTTGAAAACCCACTCAAAACAGGATGAGAAGCGAGTAGAGGTCACAGGATCAGAACAGCTCCTATCTGGCCACCCACTCTGTCCTGGTAAGAAGGGATAAGGAGCTTGCAAACTGGGTAAGAAAATCCTCTCACCTACCAGCTCAACAGGTAATCCCGGGCCTCCGCTCCTCTAAGCTCTGTTCTATTTTCACTCCGCTTCCCCAGAGAGCAGGCCCCATTGGCTACAAGGATTTAGCGTGGACTCTTAACACCAGTTCTCTGGCATCCCCTGCATTTGCATGTGGACTTGCACGGCTCCGTTACCTTCTCCCTTCTGCTCACCTCCTCCCAACATTTCTGCGCACTGTCTGATTCCTCAGGCTCTTCCTTGCTCAGATCTGGAGGACTGAGGCCTGTGAGCGAGGGGGGCCCAGTTTTAGAAAGCTGAGCCGCCCTTGGGAAGGGAATAGCAGGCACAGAACCTGTCCAACTTGGGCGTCAGCCTCCCGCGGGCCTGGGCAATGGGCAATGTGATGGAGGGTAAGTCGGTGGAGGAGCTGAGCAGCACCGAGTGCCACCAATGGTACAAGAAGTTCATGACCGAGTGCCCCTCCGGCCAGCTCACTCTCTACGAGTTCCGCCAGTTCTTCGGCCTCAAGAACCTGAGCCCGTCGGCCAGCCAGTATGTGGAGCAGATGTTCGAGACCTTTGACTTCAACAAAGTGAGCAGGGGTCCGGGTGGGGAGCGCTGGAGGGACACCCCGGAGGCCCAATCGGTGTTGGGGAGGGGAGGAGCAGGTGGGAGAGCGGCAGCGTCCGCTGGAGGAGTGACTTCATCCGGCTTGTCCGGTTCTTTGCTCATGTGGGAGGTTGAAGGACCACATCAGGGACTCAACTGATCTAACATTTACTGAGTGCCTACTGTGAGTCAGGCACTGGGGTTCCAAGATGAACCAGAGCCGTCCCTGCCCTCTCTTTCCAGGGGAAGGCAGGGAGGCCCACCAGCTAGTGTCCTCAGAGGCTGAAACTAATGGCCGCCTCTGCCTTTTCCGCAAACACATCTTGGTTTACTCCAGAACAAGTGTGAACACTTACAAGACAATCCGTGAGCACCTACTAAGCGCTTGGCGCTGTAAGCGCTGCTTTTGCAAGATGCAGAAGGAGGACGGGTAGAGAGCAGGGAGCAGGGCGATGAGGCTTCAGCCCCGGCTGGTCTGGGATGGGCAGGCCCGTGTTACTTGGGTCATCCATGATGCTCTGTGGACACTAGACCTGGGGAAGGGCAGGGTTGCCTGGTCACTGGGGAATCCAGCTTCTCCAACTCTAAAATACCCAGTGACCTCAGTTCATCTTCTCTCAGGTGGGTCGAAGCTCGGCCGGGGGGTCAGATTGTATTTCTCCCTATGTGATCACCTGGACGCACTGGGCGAGGACTTCCCCAAAAGCTAGAGGGGGCGCTGAGAGAGGAGGTAGGCACCTAACTCCTAACTGGGTGAGTTTGGCCCCTAGTTTTCATCAGCTGGGTGACCTTGAGCTCGTTATCTGCCCCTCAGCCTCAGCTTGTTCACCTGTATCTGCCATGGATGTCAGGTCATTGGGTGAGGTGTTTGTTGGTTTTCAGTAACAAATCTTCCATTTAATTGGCGCGATTCAGTCAAGATGTAGTGGTAAAAGAACTCAAATCCACAAACCCATCTTCCTGCCCCTGCTGGTCCCCACGCCGCTGGTCCCCACGCCGGCTGGTCCCCACCCAGGCTGGCGCTCCCTCAGAAGGCGGGGATGTGATGCTGAGCTGCCACGTGTCCACCACAAGCCGGGGAGGCTGCCCAGAGCTTTCTCGGCTCCCCTCACTGCCCAGAGGTCGAAACGCCATTGTAGGTGGGGCTCCTGGGGAAAGCTGGGGCTCTGAGGCTATTTAAAACTCACTAATATTTGGGATCAAGGGGCCAAAGCAGATTATGGGCTTTGAGTCCCGGCCTCAAGGGCAGCATCCTGGCGTCCGAGGGCTTTCCTGAAGGGGGCATGGGGGAGCCAAGTACTGGAGCCCGAGGGATGGTGACCAGGAGGGATGGTGTCACATGCTGGACCCCCAAGGGCTCCAGAGGCAGCGATAGTTACTGAAGAGGACAGGGAAGAGACCATGGTCGAGCCCATCACGCCTATGACATGAGAGAGGGGCAGCCCATCAACCCTGTATTTGCCCAGTCATGCGTAAGCCACCTCTTCCATTTTTGTCACATGCAAGCACCACCTGTACTGTCCCCAACCTGCCCTAGATGATGCCCACAGCTCTACCTTAGGGCCTGCCTTGGTGCTGGCTGGAGCCCTCTTCCTTCAGAATTCCCCCTTCCTCCAGAATCCTGCTTGGCTCACACCTTCCCCTGCTACAAGTCTCTGCTAGCAAATACCTCCTTTCCACTGACACCTGCCCTGCTCTCCTGATTAAACTCTATTTTCCTGGGACCCCTCAATTTCCCAGTCCCCGCTTTCCCCCTAGAGCAGGTCTCATTTTCTCATACATGATATTAAATAACATTTAGCCACGGTGTTGACGGTCTGTCTCCCCCGTTCAAGTGTGAGCTCCGTCAGGGCAGAGAGTAGGGTCCGTCTTGTTCATTGCGGTGTCCCCACACCTAGAACACAGCCTGAACACAGTGGGTGCTTCATAAATATTTGTTATATGAGTGAATGAATATATCAGCAATCATGAGTTTATGAGCTAGTTTTATATTTCACAATACACATTAATTTGAATGCATAATTATTAAAACAAAGAGCATCTTTGTCACATCTGAAGAGCCTCATATCCAGCCATGGTGCACACTCACTTGGGGCAACATTGCCTTCACCCGTTGTCCCGAGCACAGAGCAGTGTCGCAGACCAGGAGACCGGACGGTTGGAGGCTGGGAAGTTTTGATACAGAGAGGAGTTAACACGGGGCTGTGCAAACAATGGCCGGGGGCCTATTTCTGTAAATGAAGTTTTATTAGAACACATACCACAACCATTGATTTATATGCTGTCTGGCAGATTCGCTCTCTGGTCCTTAACAGAAAAAGTTTGCTGGCCCCTGAGTTAAAAGACACTGTCTGCTAGGTGCTGTGCTGAGCAGGCAGGGGTGGGGGGGTGCAGCGGTACGAGGGGGCGGTGTGACCTGGGGGACACGCATGTGCTCTGCTTACTTTAAAGCGCTGCCCGGACTCGGCAGCACCCACAACCATCCAGGGACACACAGTCCACGTAAACCTTCCGTTCCTGCACCTGAGCACCGTGTAGGATTCAGGAGACCCCATTTCTAGGCACGGCTTTGTGGTTCACTAGCTGTGTGGCCTCACCTCTCTAATTCAGACTTTTCATCCGAAAACGGGGACAAAAACCTCACCTCCTGGGGTGGTTGTGAGACTGAGCGAAGCCAATAAAACACTCAGCACAGGAAGCACTAAAAAAAAGGCAGTATGATGGTGGCGTTATGACCAGTCCTCATCCATACCCCAAGCGTGAAACGTACATACTGTCGTTCCGGCTTAGAGCTGAGGAAGCTGAGCCTCAAAGAGGCCATGTGACTTTTTCAAGGTCACACCTCTCTGAAGACGGGGTTTAGGTCTTTCTGGCACAGAAGCCCATACCTTTCCATTGCCCCTTTTGAGCCATTTTTTTTTTTTAATTACGTAAGTAATATAGCTCATTGCGAACATTTCCAGCAATAAAGAAAGATAAAAAAATGGAAGCAAAAGTGTCCTCACCCGGGTCCGCTCGCCCAGAGGAAACTTCTCAGCATTTTCTTACTTCTCTGAGCATCGCTGCCCAGGGCCCTTGGTCCATTCTGACCACAGTCCTGAGAGGCGGGTTGGGCAGGAACTGAATGACCAAAGGCGAGTGTGAAAGCCAGGCAAATGTTCACGAGGATCACGACACCCGCTGTGGGGCTCAGAGTGGGTAAGGCCTCACCTAAGGCCAAAGGCTGGCTCAGAACCAGCGGATCTCAAAGCCTGTCTTGCTCAACCTCTGCCACATCCCTAATAACAGTGCTCCAGCCTCTGCTTGCACACTTCCAGTGACAGGGAACTCATTACTGCATGAGGCTGCCCCTTCCACCACGGGCAACTCTGCTGTTAAAGAGTTCCTCATACCGATCCCAAATCTGCCTGGCGGTAACTTCCCGGTTCCAGAGTCCTTGTTGTGAGCAAGTGGAGGAACAGGGGGCTGAGCTCCAAGCTCTCAGGCTCCGAGTCCAGTGCTCCTTTCCTTACAGCACTCAGCCTTCCTGCCAGACACAGGCTGCCCTCTCCCAGCCTCACTGGGCTTGGGGGGCATGTGGGCAGAGGCAGGCCTGTGCTCCCCACTTCCCTGCTCCATTGGTAGGGCTGGCAGGGCCCGTGAACATTTGGGGGACCCTGGAGAAATATCCCGCAGGAATGTCTGTGCCACCCTCCCTGCCCCAAGACTCAAGGAGGGCATCGTCTCCCCCAGGAAGCCTCCTGGAGCCCCGCTCCCCTGCCCTCGCCCAGCAGATCTGGTGCCTCTGTTCTGTGATCACATAATGTCCTGTCTAGTGTGTTGTCCCCGAATACACATCACAATGGTGCAGTGATCTCCTTATGATGATAATAGGCAACACTGACTGAGTGCTTACTACGCAACACGAACTCATTTAATCCCATAACAATCCCATAGAGGCAGGTACTGTTATAACTATTATGGATGTGGAAATCGAGGGCCAGAGACCCATCAGAGTCCTTTGTCCCAGATGCCAGAGCTCTGAGGGGGTGGAACCAAGATTCGAACCTGCGCCCTCCACACCGCACTCCCGTCAGCACAGGGTTCATAGCTTCCCGAGTTCTGAGTCCTCAGTCTCTCACAGCACACAGTAGGCGCTCCGGGGAGCTCCACAATACAGCAAAGAAGGAGTAAGGCGCCCCCTGCCTGCATATCCATCTGCTCCCCTGACCCCAGCTCGGAGGAGCTCACCCAGACCACGTCCCCAGCCCTGGGTGTTCGTTTGTCTCCTCCCACCTACACACACCTTCCTGCCCCTCGAAGGGCTCAAGTTTGAGAGTCACAGGGAAGCAGTCAATGACGCTAGAACCCAAATACCGTGAAGAGAGAGCATCAGCCACTCACACCCCAGTGCGGGGTGGGGGGTGGGGGGGCATTATGGGATTTGATCTGGGGCAGGCGGGGCGGCGCGTCCAGGACAGACGGGGGTGGGCACGAGGGGGCAGGGGCGCGGTCGAGCCCGGGCTCAGCACTTCCCGGGCCGTGGGTGCTCCAGGGCGGGGCCGGGGAGTGGGCTCAAGGCGGCGCGCCCCTCGCCCAGGACGGCTACATCGACTTCATGGAGTACGTGGCGGCGCTCAGCCTGGTCCTCAAAGGGAAGGTGGAACAGAAGCTGCGCTGGTACTTCAAGCTCTACGACGTCGACGGCAACGGGTGCATTGACCGCGACGAGCTGCTCACCATCATCCGGGTAACTCCAGGTGCAGAGGGCCGGGCTAGGGGCGGGGGCAGCGGCCTGGGGTGGACCCAGAGCTGAAACCTCGGGGTTCCTTCCCGGGCGGAACTGCAACCTCAGAAGGGGACAGGATTGGAATTGAGGATCCCTGTGGCAGCTCTGGCCCTCACCAGCTGCGTGACCCCGGCCACGTTCCTTCCCCTCTCTGAGCCTCAGTCTCCCCATCTGTACCAAGAGACTGTGGAAGCTCTGAAGTGCCAGCTCTGCCTCTGCTGCCCGCCGCTGCTCCGGCACCCTGGCCTCTACTCCCCGCTGCTGTTGGGAGCCAGACGAGCTCCCACTGCCCGCACTGCCACCACTGAGTCTGAATTAGGATGGGTCGTCTCACTTCTCCTTCCCTCCCAGGCCATCCGTGCCATTAACCCCTGCAGCGACTCGACCATGAGCGCAGAGGAGTTCACCAATACCGTGTTCTCCAAGATTGACGTCAATGGGGATGGTGAGGAGCCGGGTGGGCGTCCCCGGGGGAGGGTCACGAGGGATATGGAGTCTCCAGGGGAGAAGGGTGGGAGGGGAGAGGGAGGCACAAGGGGCCTCTGCTGGCCGCCTCCTCCATCTGCTGCTGGGTTGGGTTTAGGGATACCGGACCTGACTTTGGTCTCTGGCTCCTTTGCACACTCCACTCACAGCCACCTCTCCTGGTGTTGGCTCTGTCCCCCTTGCAAGACTCCAGCTCGGGGCTCTGGACAGCAGACATGAACACCCTCTTGCCCATGACCCCATTTCTCTCTACCCCAGGGGAACTCTCGCTGGAGGAGTTCGTGGAGGGCGTCCAAAACGACCAGATGCTCCTGGACACACTGACACGAAGCCTGGATCTTACCCGCATCGTGCGCAGGCTCCAGAACGGCGAGCAAGATGAGGAGGGGGCTGGCAACCAGCAAGATGAGGAGGGGGCTGGCGGCGGGGCGGCTGAGGCAGCCGGCTGAGCCCACCGCTCAGCTGCTTCTGTATCGGGGAGGGGTGTGCGGTGGTGCTGGTGTCCTCGTTGTTTTAATTCTAGATGGAGTCTATGAACTCAGAGGGTCAGCTTACCTCTTTGGGGTGCATGGTGGCAGCAGAGGGGCAAGGGTGGGGGGCCAGAGCTTGGGACGGTGAAGGACGGTTCCTGAACTCTCCGCTTGAGGCGGCTGGCGGTGACTGCTCCCTGCTGGGGGAAACTCCTCAACATCCCTCTGCCACCTCCCTTGCCCCTTCTGGCACCTCCTCCATCTTTTCCCGGCTTGCCCCATTGAGCTTCTCCAGGCCCACTCTCTTCTAGACAGCAAAGCTCTGAGGCACAGCTGGGCCTTCCCGGAACTCTGATAGGATCCTGCAGCTCAGGGGACCACAGGCTCCAACCCAGCGCTGCAACCACACACCCATCCCACGCCAGGAGCCTGGAGCCTACTTGTGTGGTTTGCGTTGATTTGTTCCTCCCTTCTGCAACCGTTTATTGAACACCTTCTGTGTATAATGCTAGATGTTACGTGTGCAAAGAAGAGGACAGTTCTCATCCTCAAGGAACCCACAGGCTCAGCAGCGTTATAATAAAATATGCTAAGAGAAGCGATGAACAGATTACTGTAGGAGCACGGGGAACAGTGAGCGAGTCTGACTCAGGCTGCCTCACAGAGGTGACCCTTGACTTTGAACATGAAAGAGGAGTTGGGGTTGCCCGTGGAGAAGAAGGTGAGGTGCGGGGGAGGTTGGAGGTGCATTCTGTGTGTGCATGTGGGGGGCTGTGTCATGGGAGGGGCTTTCGTACGTCTAAATTGGGGATATCTCTTAGGATTTAAATTTTACCAAATTTGAAACAATAAGGGGCCACATGTCCATTTTTAGGGAGCACTCCTAGGCCCCCAGTAATAAAGGAAAAAAACCTTCAAGATGTTCACAAGGCTTCTAAGAAGACAAGGATGGCATTTGGTTGACAGTATAGATCTGAATCGTGACTGAATGACCGGTCACGGGGTGGGGGTGTGTGTGTGTGTACACGTGCATGTGCATGCATCCAGACACTCTGGAAGGGTCTGCTCAGTTTGATGTTGACCAGAAAAGAAGGAGGGGCGGCACTAGAGAAAGTCCTCATTCATCCAGGGAAATCCGTATTTATTCAGAAGTAACTGCACCAGCCCCTCACCTTCCCCTGCTGGCTCCTGGCGGCTCATAGTGCTACGTAGTTCCCACGGGTCTGCGACTCTGCTCAGGGCAAGTGAGCTGACCATGCCTGGTCTCACCTAGATCTCTCTTGCTGCACTGACACCTGACAACGGTTGAGACGTGGGGAAGTCTGTTAGAGGTTGGCCCCATCCCCATGCTTTGCACACCTCAACTTTAGGAATACGGGTCTCGGACCATAGGGAGAGACATAGGCTGGAGCAGTTTTGCCCATTTTTACAAAGATGCTCTTTCTTCTGGGCTTTGTCTTCACTGCCGCTGGGTGTGGGGGAGGGGCAGGGAGTAAATAAAAGTCCAGGGGTGGTAGGGAGAACACGAGGTGAGAGGGAGCGAAGCTCCAGGTTGCTGAGAGCCCCACTGAGGGGGGGAGAGGACGTGTTTTGCTCACACCTCTTGGACCACTCCAGACTGGGAAGTCAGCCAGGGCCGGAGCACAGACGTGGAGGGAAAGTGGGGGTCAATGCCAGGGGCAGCCTGGAAAAAAAGGGAGTTGACATTTCTGCTCCTTCTCTTGATGGCTGCCTCCTGAGAAATCCTGCAGGTCTGAGTTGGGAGGGTATTTGGATAGAATTAGGGCATTTCTGCAACCTCGTTCACGTACCCCCTTCATGACTCGGGGCATATCTGTGTCCTACCTAGATTACTATTATTTTTTAATCAACTGATTTTTACCTAAAATTTACTTCTAAAGGAAACTTTATGACAATATCATACCTATGAAATCGCAGCCTCAATAGGTTAGTTTTATTTTTTGTATTTCAACATAAAAACGTATCTATTCGAATGAGTTCCTAGGCTGAATTCCTCAGGCCCCCTTCAACCAGAGTGGCTCCCTTTTCATCAAGTTTCTGTATTGGGATTGCATACAGAATTTGCATAACAAAAGTAATTCCACACATGGGCTGGCCCAGTGGCATAGTGGTTAAGTTTGCACACTCCGCTTCAGCAGCCCGGGGTTTGAGGGTTTGGAACCCCGGGCACGGACCTATGCACCACTCATCAAGCCATGCCGCGGCAGGGCCCCACATAAAAAACAGAGGAAGATTGGCACAGATGTTAGCTCAGGGCCAATCTTCCTCATCAAAAATAATAATAATAATAATTCCACATCTAAAAAAAGAATAATCTGAAAACTGCTCATCTAGTCCAACCTGCTCACCCTGCAGCTGAGAAAACTGAGGTTAGGGAAGAGAAATGGCTGTCTCGGGTCACAAAGCAGTTGGAGGCCAAGCCTGGCCTAGAACCTGGGTCAGCAGGCCCACAATTCTCCCCAGAGATAGACAGAGGTTTCTCCATCCTTTAAGGAGACACATTCGGCTTGTGGCTGGGCATCGTGGAAGGTCCATGCTGGGGGTAGGGGTTGAAGAGGTGAGTGTGGGGGATGAGGGTTAGGGAGGTGGAGAGGAGGTTTTTTGGAGGAAGGTTGGCCGCAGGGACTGGGGAAACAGCACCAGGGCAGAGCTGAACCCTCCAAGGGCAGGAAGACCACAGCCTTACTTACTGCAGTTTCCCCGTGTTGACAGCCCTGGTAAGGACAACTTGGGGAGGAGCAGGCAAGAGTCCTCCCGTGAACACTCCTCAGGATCCTGGGGGGATGTCATTACTGTCCTCCCCCAACTCCTCCCTTTTCTTTAGTCTCCACACCTCCCAGCCCCTGCCTGCTCCCAGTCTTTGCCTCACACCCCGAAAGAGTAGGCGTTCTCGCTGCTAATTTGGTCTGTGGGACCCCACCCTTCAGTTTGCCCCTGCTTCCAACTGAGAACCACCCAGGAATTTGAGGGAGCCCCGCAACTACCCAGCCAAGGCATCATCCTCCCGGAAGCAGCTGAAAGGGGAGAGTAACCCAGTTCCCTTCACCACCCCAGTAAATCCTCCCAAATGGGCTGTGTCCTGTCGGCCACTTCAGACCTACAGCCTCTTCCTCTCTCCACTCAGCCCCACCGCCCTGCACAGGGGCTGCCAGGAAGTCCAAGCCAGGATAAGAGTGGGCACAAGCCAGCCGAGCCAGGGACCCTGCCATGACTCTGGAAACCCGCTGGGCCTGGAGTCTTGGTGGGATCTGTGTACTCCCACAGGGCTCCCAGGGCCCCACACCCTTCAGAACATAGCGCTTTTCCGCCTCTGCTGAGAGATCCAGCCACTGGGATTCACATCCAGCTGCAGCATCTTCATCACCCACTTGTCACGACGGGCACCCTCAATGAACTCGTTCAGAGACAGCTGGCCTGAGCAAGGGGCAGGAGAGACGGTCACACAGGAGAATGAAGAGCCAGCAGGCACAGGGCCTAAGTTTGGGGCCTGTCAAATCTCTGATTCTCCAGGAGTCTCCTGGAACCTTCAAGGGTTTCTTTAAGGGACTTCCCTTGCAAATGAACTTAAGCTTTACTTTTGCCCATGGTACCTTCAAAATGTTCTTGGGGAGTCTTCTGGGTGTGTTCCCAGCCAGCGCCCTCCCTGCACAGCCTTGGGCTGGGGCACCGAACTACAGGGAGCAGAGCCCAAGTAGCCTTAATGGAAGCCCACCCTATGCCCAGCTCTTAACTACAATACCCCGTGCATTCCTTTCAACCATTATTCTCCCCGTTTTGCACATGAGGAAACTGAGGCCAGGCTGAGAGGTTAAACGTACCATCCTGGTCTGCCTGCCTGACTCCAAAGCTCCTATTCCTTCGCTACACTTGCCTGGCCTCTGTCAGCACCTCCAGTGGGAGTTTTAATCACTCTTACAAACATCACGTGCTGGTGACACCCTTTGTTATTTCACGTAATCTTCTCCACACCCAGCTCACAGATGAGGACCAGTTGTCGGGAAGTGGAGGGCCTTCCCCAAGGTCACATGGCCAGAAAGTGAGGGTGCTACGGAGTGGGTGCCCCCCACCCCATCTCTGCCCCTGTTACCGTCTCCGTTCTCATCCACCAGAAGGAAGATCCTATCCACGACCTCCTCGGGCGTGAGCAGCTGGCTTTGCTGCTCGGCCTCCATCTCCACCCTGCAGGCTTTCTTCAGCTTGTAAATCGCCTGCGGGAGGAAACCCAGACGCACTGACAGATACTGCCCCACACCCGGGACCTGTGCCCCCAGCGCTACCCCCCAGGCAGTGCAGCTGAGGACCATGGGACCCAGATCCAAATCAAAACTGACCCGTCCTAAGGTTGTTCTCTCAGGGTCCCAGTGGCCTAGTTCCAACCAAGGAGTCCCTGCCCTCATGTGCCACCCACCCCAATGCCATTGGCATTTCCACTGTGAGTGTCAGAGCCGGAACCTAAAACCTCCGCTGCGGGATGTGTACGGCACTGTGATGGTCTAAACTCCACTTTATGGAGGAAGAAATGGAGATTCCGAGAGGAAAAGAGAATTTAGTATACTTATGGATGAGAGTCTTTGTGTGTGAACTAGGATGAGGGAGACCCGGGCGTTTGCACTGGAGGGGAAGGAACAGGTCTCTTCTTCGCCCTGTTTCCTCTCCCGATGAGGCAATGTTGGTGAAGTGAAACGGGGACGAGACAGACAAACGTGAGGCTTATCCTGAGCTCCCAGACTGGGCACTCTCTGAGGACAGAGGCCTGTCTTGTCCATCCCTCACTGCCCAGCACAGTGCCTGGCACTGCCGGTGTCCGGGAGCCTCAGGGCTTACAGCCCCAGCACCTCCTGCGTGGATGAACTTGGGCAAACTACAGACCCTCCGTGAGGCGGTTTCCTCGTCTGTAAGATGGGCTAACAACACCCTCGCAGTGCAGTAACAGGCTCACCCTGTTCACGTGACGGAGTCCGTGTTAGTGGAGGGAATTTCATTGCCCCCTTGATCATTCTTGCTATCAGTTTTCAAAGAAACAGCTTTTTGTTTTGTTGGCTTATCTCCTCTTGTGCATTCCTTTTCTATTTCATTGATTTCTGCTCTTTCTTATTTCCTTTCTCTACTCTCTTTGGGTTTACTTTACTCTTCTTTTTCCTAATTTCTTGAGATGGCTTCTTAGATCATTGATTTTCAGACTCTTGTATATCCTAATATATAAATTTTAAGGCTGTATACGTCTCTGCAAGCCTAGCTTTAGCTGCATTCCTTGAGTTTTATGTTTGCATTATTGTTCAGTTCAAACTACTTGTGTGTGTGTGTATGTGTGTGATATTATTTCTTTGATTTATGGAGTATTTAGAAGTATATTGCCTAATTTCCAAACACATAGGGACTTTTCAGTTATCTTTTTGTAATTGATTTCTAGTTTAATTCCACTGTGGTCAGAGAACATGCTCTGACTGTTCCAATGCGCCTCCCCCAATCCCAGGCCTGGGGCCCCCACTCCAGCGGCCACAGCCCAGCAGTGCCCAGGGGCCCAGGGGCCTGACCCCACGGTCAGACGCTGACCTCCACA